ACCCCGCTCACCATGGTGAGGGCAGCGCCTCCTGTGGCGGCCGCGAGCTGGGACGCGGCTGAGAGCGGAGCGCGGAGAAGCGGCTCTCGGGGAGGGGGGCCCGGCCGCAGCCGCTTTCATACCCCGAGGGGAGAGGGGTACCCCCCTCAACACACCCACCGGTGGTACCGCCCCAGCGGGCGGCCCAACTGCGCCTGCGCGGGGGAAGATGGGGTCTCTGCGGCCCCCTGGTGGCCGGGGTTGGGGGTTGCAGGGAGTGGAGCCGCTCGCGGCGCCTAGCGGGACCGAAAGTCCGCGGTCACGTGCGGCGCGCCCCGCCCCGCCCCGCCCCGCCCGCAGGGGCTTTCCGCGGGTATCGGGATGCGCCAGTCTCTGCGCACCGCAACCTGCAGGCCACCGAGCCCGGGCCCTTCCCCGCCCTCCTGGGACCCTGCAGAGGTACAAGCCCCCGCTGCGCCTGGAAAGTGTCTAAATAATCGCCTTGTCCCGGGACAGTCCGGACTGATTCGCGGCTATTGCCCTGCCAGCTACATGTGCAAGCGATTGTCTCCCCCTCCCCTCCCCCATTAAGCAAGGAAGACCCCCCACCTTTTGATGCAAGTCAAACCCCCGCATTGTCAGCCCCGAAGTAAACAGATCGCCAGCTTTTAGCCAGTGACGGTAGCTCATGTTAGACGCTGGATTTTTGTGAGTGCCCCAGGTAGCGACCTAAAACGATCAATACAAGCAGGGGGACAATGGAGAACAGCTGAATACCAAAGTGCACCCCTCCTTCCCCCCCCCAGCTCTATGTGTAAGGAAAACACATGCACAGAGTAAGGAGAAACACACACACAAAGAGCTGTGTGTTAAGAAACACACACACACACCAGCATGTTAAGGAAAGCATATGTTCACACAGAACTGTAGAGGAACACGTGTGCACGCACGCACACACACAGCTGTATGTTAATGAATGCACATTCATGCACAGATGCGTACACACGCAAAACTGTAAAGGAACATATATACACATGCAAGTACACACACACACACACACACACACACACACACACAGCTGTATGTAAAGAAACATACCTGTATGTTAAGGAAAGCATATGTGCACACAGAGCTGTAAAGGAATGCATGTGTGCATGTGCACACACACACACAGAGCTGTACATTAAAGAACGCACATGCACACACACACAAAGCTGTATGTTAAGGAACATACACACACACACACACACACACACACACACACACACACACACACACACACACACACACGTTTCACAATTATTTATTCCACACATATCACATA